TTTTGTAGCGATACAGATGACATGATAAATATGACACAAATAAGATGATTTGGCGATATACATGACATGGAGAATTTGACACAAATAAGATGGTGTAGCGATGCACATGATATGATGAATATGATACAAAAACGACTTTGTAGCGATACACATAACGTGACCAATATGACACAAATACGATGTTGTAGCGATACACATGACATGATCAATATGACATAAAAAGGATGCTGCGTCGATACACATGACATGATCAATATGACAAAAATACGATGCTGAAGCGATACAGATGACATGTTCAATATGAGATAAATCCGATACTGTAGCGATGCACATAACATGATCAATATGACAGAAATAACATGCTGTAGCGATACACATGACATGATCAATGTGACACAAATACGATGCTGTAGCGATACACATAACATGACCAATATGACACAAATACGATGCTGAAGCGATACAGATGACATGTTCAATATGAGATAAATCCGATACTGTAGCGATGCACATAACATGATCAATATGACAGAAATAACATGCTGTAGCGATACACATGACATGATCAATGTGACACAAATACGATGCTGTAGCGCTACACATGACATGATCAATATGACACAAATACGATGTTGTAGCGCTACAGATGACATGTTCAATAAGTCACAAATAAGACTCTGTAGCGATGCACATAACATGACCAATATGCCAAAAATACGATGCTGTAGCGATACACAAGGCTTTATGAATGTGATAGAAATACGATGTTGTGGGATACTCGTGCCATGTTCTGTATGATACACATGACTTGACCAATATGCCAAAAATACGATGCTGTTGCGATATATGTGCAATGTTCACTTTGATGCTCAGAAATACATGCTGTTTTACTATTGTACACAAAGGATATATTCGTTTCTTTTCAATGTTGGTAAGGTCAGTGATCTCATCGTTTTGCCTGGCTTGTAGTCCAAGAAGTAATTCTGTGACTGAAGAGCTTTTTTCTAAAACTATGTGTGACGTCATTGAATATGACGTCATTAGATCTGTTAATATGTGTTTAAGATAGTGTAGTCAAAAGACATTTTCACCTTAGAACTAACTGCAGAAGGCATGAGTAATGTAGTGTGACGGTATTTGCATGTATTTGTCCATTTCCTTGGTTGCGTAACACACAAAATCTAAGTTCAGGAAACCCTGATGCGTGCGTTCGTACTGAAAATATATTAATTCCTACTTCGTCCCCAGTTTCATGTGCCAACTATAAACTTGAAAATGCACGTGCAGATGTTGACGTCATCAATGCTGACCCTAAAGATGTCTGCAACACCAACATCTTTGCCTCCGACGACAACCCATCTTCCTGTTATACCGGTGCATCATGGGAAGTGGTGCCAGTCAAGTGTGTGTCGTGTTATATAGGCACGGCACGACCGTCCATGGTGGGTTCATAATGATGTTTGGTTTGTCTTTATTGTCGACAATGATAAACAAAACAAGGTTGAACTCCATTCAAATATGTATTCCTTGATCCCAAATCGATCAATGTGGTCTACATAAGATTTGTTTGTTTGTTTGTTTGTTTGTTGTTTTACGTCGCACTCAGCAATATTCCAACTATATGACTGCTGTCTGTAAATAATCGAGTCTGGACCAGACAATCCAGTGATTGACATCATGAGCATCGATCAAGGCAATTGGGACCGATGACATGCAACAACCACGTCAACGAGCCTGACCACCCGATCACGTTAGTCGCCTTTTACGACAAGCATAGTCGCCTTTTACGACAAGCATAGTCGCCTTTTTACGGCAATCATTGGTTGCTGAAGACATATTCTCTCCCGGACCTTCACGGTCGGTCAATATAAGAAGGCAAATTAGATTGGTTTTGATATGACGAGCAGTACCATGTCGGAGTTTGTGATATGTGTAGCTGTATCATGTCGGAGTTTGTGATATGTGTAGCTGTATCATGTCGGAGATTGTGATATGTGTAGCTGTATCATGTTAGAGTTTGTGATATGTGTAGCTGTATTATGTCCGAGTTTGTGATATGTGTAGCTGTATCATGTCCGAGTTTGTGATATGTGTAGCTATATCATGTCGGAGTTAGTGATATGTGTAGCTGTATCATGTCGGAGTTTGTGATATGTGTAGCTGTATCATGTCGGAGTTTGTGATATGTGTAGCTGTATCATGTCGGAGTTTGTGATATGTCCAGCTGTATCATGTCGGAGTTTGTGATATGTGTAGCTGTATCATGTCCGAGTTTGTGATATGTGTAGCCGTATCATGTCCGAGTTTGTGATATGTGTAGCCGTATCATGTTGGAGTTTGTGATATGTGTAGCTGTATCATGTCCGAGTTTGTGATATGTGTAGCCGTATCATGTCCGAGTTTGTGATATGTGTAGCTGTATCATGTCCGAGTTTGTGATATGTGTAGCCGTATCATGTCCGAGATTGTGATATGTGTAGCTTTATCATGTAGGAGTTTGTGATATGTGTAGCTGTATCATGTCCGAGTTTGTGATATGTGTAGCTGTATCATGTCCGAGTTTGTGATATGTGTAGCTTTATCATGTAGGAGTTTGTGATATGTGTAGCTGTATCATGTCGGAGTTTGTGATATGTGTAGCTGTATCATGTCGGAGTTTGTGATATGTCTAGCTGTATCATGTCCGAGTTTGTGATATGTGTAGCCGTATCATGTAGGAGTTTGTGATATGTGTAGCTGTATCATGTCGGAGTTTGTGATATGTCTAGCTGTATCATGTTAGAGTTTGTGATATGTCTAGCTGTATCATGTCTGACTTTGAGATATGTCTAAGTGCATCACGTCGGAGTTTGTGATATATCTAGCTGTCAGGCTAACAATCCGAAGATCGCGGGTTCGCGTCCGACGGATTCTCACTAAAACTGGATGCTTGTCTTGTGACATGTGACCTACGGCAGAGATTGTCCTCACGAGAAGTTGTGGTACTGTATTCTAAAGGTGCTCCGTCACCGGGGATAACAAACGTCTGGATGTAAACATTCATACTTCGTTTCAACTGAAAAGCTTGTTCTATTTTAATCAGTATATTGCATAATATATGCTTGTAAGTTTCATCTCTGAACTAATAACAATTATTTACAACTGGGACTGAAGACTATATCAGATGATTCTAAATCTGTTCAGTCAAGTGTCGGATGTGTTTTTTCGCTCATATTTTTAAAACGTTGTCCTGCATCATAGAACGGCCAAATGTGTCAGCCATATTAATTTTACACTCAAGGCCTGCAGCTTTGTTCTTCGAATCCGGAAAATATTATCAGGAACAAATGTATTTTTGCATTGCTTTTGAAGAATTGCAAGGAAATGTAGAATATATAAGAGAAAATGTGCATGATTCTCATTATTTTATGACTAAGTTAGAACGGACGTTAGGCTAAATGCGAAAACAATTTGGCGAATGTCACACGGGCAATCGGCATTTCAGTCTTATCACTTTATAGAGCCACATGTTTATTCCCTTCTTTACACAACCAAACACCGTATCAAACATCTTGTAGTGCCGGCTACAGTTTCTGCCTCAGATAGTAACCTGATCTGTGATGAATGTACTGCCGCATCGCTCGGAATGCTGAATTATGACAGTGTTGCAAATGGTTTTCCTGACACTGAATTACCACTGTGTTGCACACGCGCGTAGTCAAGTAGACCTGTTGCTCTTTTACATTGATTGTATATCATCAAGAAAATGTCCTCACTGAAATATTAATCTGTAGCATGTCGTATATCGACGTTTGTAATACTGTGTAGCCCGAGACACCAAACGGCGTAAAATGCACCAGTTTCAGAGTCTAGTTAAGAGAGTGTTTGTATTGGGGAGGGTGGGGACTAAAACATCAAGCAAAGTCACTCGGAACAACAAATAATTTACGATAGGTTGCATCACTCTACATTTAGTAGCCTGTTATCATCAATTGGCAAAGGCAATATGTACACAGAGAAACCATCAAGACAGTAGTCGATGAAACAATTGTGTTAAATGCCCATTGTCCACAGACGTTGAAATGCACGAGAAATATATTTTCCTCCAGAATTACACTGGTGGGCGTCCTATCCTGGTCAAAATATATATAACGATGTGCATTGATTCTCACTCGCAACAAATACCTGAGTATAATTTAAATATACAGTAGTAATAACATAGCAGGCAATGAAAATTAGAAAACAATGTTCAGTATTTGAAGTAGGTTTGCTATTCACAGTGCTGATACTCAATTGCAGATATTATGCAACAACGCACCAACTTGCGGGGACCATTTCATTGTCATAACGATTCCACCCACACTAACGAAGTCAGACTAAAATACTAATCATTCCATAATTGGGAATTAAGGGTAGGTAGCTGATGTAATACCATGTTGTAAAGTTCCAAAATAATAAATGCACATATTCTGTGTATTCTGTGTACAGCAATATAAACTAACATGTTTAGTCCTTAGTCCTCATAATGGTAACATATAAAACCCTAAAGAATGACATATGTCTACTAGCCTAGTATTTATGATATCTGAACTATTGGGATGTTTGGCAAAGACTATAGGACGAGTGCCAATTTCTATTGCTGATGTAGTAATGTTCATTTATGTTGTATGTTGTATGATTATATTATTATGACAACAAAATAACAATCTATTCAGTTCCTGCAACTTCCACCAAGAGAAGAGATATATCTCAGCAGTTAGCACATAGGCAGTGTGCAGCTTAGACTAATTCAGGAAGTGATTCAATAAATAAAAAAATATAATAAATAATAAATATAAGTGATTTCCAAAATTTGTCAGTCACCATGCTATGGTATATTAATAATATTTCTACTGTAACACATGTATTATAAGTCACACATTTGTTGAAAGGCAAAAGCTTCTCTGAGGCCAGTAGTTATAATGTTTACCTGCAATATATAATTTTCTGAACAGCATATATGGGGGTTTTGGGTGGTGGGTAACCTAGTGGTTAAAGTATTCGCCCTTCGCGCGGAAAAACTGGGGTCGATTCCCCCACATGGGTACTATGTGCGAAGCCCATGTCTAGTGTTCCCCGCCCAGATATTGCTGGAATATTGCTAAGAACCAGTAAAACCCAACTCACCCAACCCAACTGAACAGCATATTTTGTGTTTCAGCCTCGAGCGACCGGAGCCACGGAGAAAGGGCTGCACAGATGACGACAGTGACGACCCATGGTAGGTGGGAGAACCCAGCAGGTGGTAGATACTGTCACTGTCCAACTTTGTACGAGATGAGGTCACATCAACATGTAACAAATATAAGCCTGAAAGTTCACTCCACAAACCTTCATATGAACAGTCTCTACAATAACAAGCTGATAAATGTAGTCTCTTATTATTCTAATAATTTGAAACAAGTCAATTGTATTGCCAGTACCACCATAAGACTCAATCCAACAAGCCTGTACAGACGCGCGGCTCAGATGAACAGCAATCTCAATGTTTGTGTTGTATTTATGAACGAATCTTGTCGTTTGAGTGATTTGTTAGTCGCTAGACGACCTTATATTTATACCTTTACTAAGATGAATGGTTTTGAAATTGTATTCATCAGTCAAAATTTTAAAAACACAAACTTTGTCGATTATCTTGTATGTATAATGCTTATTTAGTTTGTATTGTTTTCTGAACAGCATGTTCTGTGTTTCAGCCTCGAGCGACCCGAGTCGGACCGCGAGGACACCAGTGACGACCACAAAAAAGCCTGCTACACAGGGTAGGTGGGAGAACCCAGCAGGTAGAAAGCCTACACTTTAATCCCCCCAACAATTAACAAGCTGGGGTATAGACCCGTTGGGGTTCTGACTTGTGTCTTGCATGTCATCGTATCCCAGTTGTGTAGATCGGTGCTCATGTTGGCAACCACTGGACTGTCTGTCTGTACCAGACTCCGCCATCTTATTGCTGGACTACTGCAAACAAACAGACTGACAAACTCCAATTTCATGTCTTATAAGATCTATCTAATATTTCCAAACAACAACTGTACTGACAGTATCATCTCATAAAGCTCAGTCCATCAAACGTTGACACTCACAGCCACACACAGAATAATGTTACAACTGGGTGTGAAAGAAAGATTTTAAACATTGACCACATAATCCTTGATTACATGAACCAGCTGTCGTCCTTCCCCTTGATCCTTGTATTGTCAGCCATGTTGGAAGTGGTTGATGACGTACCGTGTCACGTGTCACCACGTTGAGGTGTGAACCATGTAGATGTATGACGAAGATGTCTGGAAGTGTATAGAGTTTACTTTGTGTTACAGCGACTCCATCACCAGCAGACTGCGAGGACCTCCATGACGCTAGCAGGGACGGGGACCTGGAGGAGGTGAAGCGGCTCATGTCTCGGGGCGTGGACGTCAATTGTAGGTGGAGGTGGAGCGAGACACCGGTGATGACGGCAGCAGGGTATGGACAGAGAGACGTGGTGGAGCTCCTGGTGAGTGAAGGGGCCGATGTGTCACTGGTGGACGGGAACGGTAGCAACACCCTTCACTTCGCCTGTTGGGGAGGAGACTTGGAAATGGTGAAGTTTCTGCTGTCTCTGAACGTGGTGGACATCGACGCCAGGAACAACGACGGGCGCACGACATACGCGAGTGTTGGATCTCCTCGTGTCCCGCGGCGCTCAGTGACGTCAGTGTCGTGTTTGTGTAGACGGTGGGGGAGACCTGACAGTGACGTGGTGTGCCGTTCACGTCGTCGTGTGTACATATGTCTTTATTTACGTGAAACTGTTTGTTGTTTTTGGATGTGAATAAAACTTGTAAAAACTTTGTCAGACATTTTGTCATTTGTTGACTTTGGAAGTTCTGAAGATCAGGTAAGAAAATTGTTAACTGAGTGTAAATAGAGATGATGTGTGATTGATATGTAAGCACCGCACCTCGTGATATGTTCATGCATGTCGTCATATATTTCTGTGTTAGTTTTATGCAATAAGTTTGTAATTAATCGTGAAAAACACAAAAAAAACTGTTTGTTTACATCTCTCTGCACTCGGTGACCTCAGACCGAGGCGAGGTTCGCTCAGCTGACGTGGCGCCAAATGTACAATGACAGTGACGTCACACTGTCGATGACGTCACGGCATTCCGGCTTAGGTCTAAACACTAAAGCTGTCTTCTGTTTTCTCTGCTAAATACGATATCGGTAATTCACAGGGCAGCACAATGCTGGCTTCGCGATGTATGCAAGTACATTACAGGCCTCATGTGGGCGATATAGATTAACAAATGGAGATGTGTTGCATATTATTGCTGCTGAAATTTAAAAAGAAATATTTCTGATTGGCGAGAAATTTATTTTCTTACACACCTGTGGGTGAGAAACACTCTCCTACCCAGAGTTCCATGCGGCCGGCAGCCAGCTGGCATAGTACCTCTGCCACAGGCCAGCGCCATGTGACGATTCGTCACATCTTTCACAGTCCATTCAAGATATTGCATATGCTTTTCATCCGTTTCATGTTTGACAAGTCTACACATTTTCATAAACAAATGTCAAAGAATGGTTAACTTTCATTGAGAAAGTATGCAAATACGTAAAAATCTACTTGTTTTTGCGTAGTTATCCTATGTTTACATTGGTTGTACGGCTCCACGTGCTGTCATCGAAGCCCAACGGAGAGCTTGCCAAACGGTCACTTTGATGCATAAATATATATTGTCATGCAACTCACTGTCGCAGTTGTAGTAGCATATCTATATAGTTATGCAAAACAATATGTAAAGCGCCCCCAAATACTTGCATTAGTCCGTTCTATACTGATTTCTGAAAAAGCGCGTTTGTTTACAAACAAGAGAAAAGTCCTGACACGTGATATGCAAATTAGCCTGTGGCAGTGGTGTTATGCTGAGTCACCACTGCGACGGAGTGTGGGTGAGAAACCCATTTGAGATAACTGGTATCAAACATATGTGTGAGATCGAATTCCAGGCCCGTGATTGGCTACTCCATGGTGATGACCTAGGGTCAGATGATGACGGACTACTTTCCTGAGTGTAAGTCATTCATAAGTTGCTCGTGCTTCAGTCGAATGTTCACCTACGTCTGTATTGAAAAATAGGACCGTGTAGTTAATAATAAAAATAAACAAACTCTTCCTCGTCTGCGAGTTTGTTTGATATTATTATCAGTTACATTATCTGTTGTTATGTCAACATTATCGGGTTTTCAGAGTGTAAACGCCCTGGCTGCCACAGCAACACATATGTCCCTCCTCTTCAACCCTCACTTCGAAATCGAATAAAATTCAAAATACATCACGCAAACACTTCACAGTTTTGAATTCCCCCTTCTGTTTATCATTTACTGCCATTTTAGACAATTAGGTACATTGTAAATCTCGCCAAATCACAATTCACGGCGTTATATAAATATTTACTGTGTGTTTAGAAATCTAAATATCGGATATTTACTCGAATAATTAAAGTAGAAAAATACCATATTAGCGATCACGGGTATCAAATCACTAATGATAATTCTGAAACGTCGCTGATAAGCCTAGAATCGTCTAGAATGTTTTGGAAAATATGCATACACGAACGCCGAAGCGTTCCGCCATATTGGATTGTGTATACAAAATGCCGGTTATGAGACGCCTATTCGATCAGGTATATTTCAAACTCCGCTGCTATACACATGCACCCCTGAATTCCTCATACATTTTCGAAACAATGGATAAATGGTCTTTGTCACCAATGCAAATTATCTAGATGAAATCATGCGAAATAAATTAGGTATGGAAACGAAAACTGTGCTCGGAAAATTGTACTTGCTGAAATGTAAACAAAGCAAAATTCAAATTTTACACTGTGTAGCATTAAAGAGGTACTTTCGTCTAATTGTTGCATACCTTGGCTCGATCACGCGTTTGAGAATATTCATGGGAAGAGTATCGTTGCACTAATTATGGAATTACACATATATACATTACAATGATGTGGTAAATTCAACAGAAGCCGTAAAAGTTCCGTCCTGTGTGACGACATGACTGACGCTAAATCACGCACAACGATGACGGTAGTTATCTGCATTTCTGACTAATTCTCTTTGTTACATTGGAAAACATGGTAAACAAATAACAGTACGCAGATTGTCAGAATGTTTCTGATTACTTACGTGACACATTTATGTGTATACGATCCCTCAATCAACGAAAATCTCCTCTGGAAATCCCGCGCACTGTTGTCAGTGAACACGCCATTTTGTAAAAGTCGGTCATCGGTAGTGATGTCATATGGAAGTAAACATTGTTGTACATATTTGGTCATTTCTTTGAGGTGTAAACTTTCAACTTGGCACCCAGCGTGTTCTTGGTTTTTGTCTAGTATGCATTTTCATCATCGCCTTGATAATCCACAGATAGGACGGAAACCTTTTTGTGTAGGGTCACATTATTTATGAGTAGTAACCCAGCTAACAATTTCACGTTGTGACAACGTCGTGACAACGTTGTGTTTACGTTGTGGCAACGTTGTGGATGTTACGTCCATATAACGTTATTCTGTGGACTCCCATTTATGTTGTCACAACGTCATGGCATAACGTTGTGTTACGTCATATTCACGTCGTCACAACGTTGTGATGACGTTGTATTTTACGTTGTGGGAACGTTGTATTTTTACGTTGAGGGAACGTTGTATTTGACGTTGTGGTTATGTTGTAATTTACGTTGTGGCAATGTTATAATAATGCGTCCCTACAACGTTATTCCGTGTACTACCACGGACGTTGTCACGACGTGAAATAACTTTGTGTTACAAGGATGAAATACGGTTGTGACTATCCACACTAAAATGTTGTAAAAACAACCCCAAAAAATGTTTTAGAATATGCTTTAGTCACGTGAATGTGTATGATTCGAGATACCTTTTACCAATATTTTAAAACCAGGGCGTCGAATAGCCCGGTTAACAGTGAGTTAACTCGTGTTTTGCTAACAATGTTCAAAATGTAAAAACACCACTGAGCTGTTACCTAGATACATGATTTGACTATAACAAAGTCAGACACCATTATCCTTTAGGCTTGTACTGAAAGACACAAAAAAAAGAATGGCAGACAATGTAAGGGGTTGACCATGTGATATTTTCTGGGGAGGGTCGGGTCCTGGAATATTATCGAAAAAATATATTGTCACCGAAAATTCTTGACAAAAATAATTACGATTCAGACTGGTGAAAAAAATGCCTGCCACAAAAAAATGACATAGAACTAGATACAAGGTGCTCATCTTCAGGCTCATAGAGTTAAAGAAAATCATATATCTGCTTTTGTAGCTGTGACCGAAAACATATGTAATCTCCATAGAAAAAATCCAAGTCCCCACCTCCTTGAATATTAAATGGTCGGTCTCTAATCAAGTCCATATAGTATACTTCAACTTTCAGTCATGCGAAGTCACCATTCAACAAAGAACTCCAAGACACATTTGCGTTGACATTTTATTATTTTTAGATTATAGAAAATTTATACACTTTTCGAAATTATTGAATGCCAGAATCTTCTTTCTTTTGTGTTCACTTCCACTTCCCTGAAATACAAACAGCTTAATAAATCTCGGGCAGGTATATGAAAGATTTCATATGACGAGAAACATTCATTTGGAGATAAGGTTTTATCAATATTCAAACAATAATGTATAATTCAAGTGACTGATGGAAACAAATTTTAACATTCATTCAGAGACATCAAGAATCAGGTTGAATACAAAACGTGGTACGAGCATAGATTTATATAAATAGATCTACATTCTTAGCATTCATTTCAAGCTAAAAAAACAACACCAATTAACATGGATATAGACAACGAAATGTAACTGTAAACAATTGTACTTACGTTAACATAATTCACAGCCCAGGGTTTATTTGGTGTGTTCCTCAATGATTCAACATTCTTGATTCTATCTCCTGGAATGGTCGTGTAACATTTTCCCCCTTGCTGCAACGAAAACATATTAAAAAAGTCAAAACTAAAACTATATTCAATAAGCATACATTTAGATCTGTAGTCTAAACAAAAAGATAACATACATTGTATAATTGCCTAAAATTTAGGAAAACTGTAAATCTAAAGTCTTCATGTATAAGGTCCGATCGGAAATAAACTCAGGCTACAGATATAAGTAACAAAATTATGAGTACCATCATAAAAAAAACACCTAATGTAATTTGGTTTTACATATACACCGGTCTGACAAACCAGTGATTGTTATAGTGAGCCACGTCTCACAACCTCTGTCAGAGTACAGTGACACACAATCATGTTAGAACAAACATGGTTTGTTGGGGACCTTTTCTAAACCGGAATCCAAACGGGAACAGATATATTTGACAGGCATTGTAGCTAATTACGACTCACATCTTCATC